AACTACAACAGGACAGTGCACACAACACACACCAGGAATTACCTAGAAGGCCCAGCTCAGGTGACAGGAGAGACTGAGCCTCTGGGCCCTACAGGACACCTATTACACAAAGCCACTCTACCAATTCCAGGAGACCTAGCAGCTCTACCTAATATATAGAAACAAACACCTGGAAGCAGCCAAAATGTGGAGGCAAAGAAATATGTCACAAATGAAAGAACAGAAGAAATCTCCAGAAAAAGAACTAAATGAAATGGACCCAAGCAAGCTACTGGATACAGAGTTCAAAACAATGGTTATAAGGATGCTCAAGGATCTTAGTAAGAAAACTAGTGAGATCACCAGTGACATAATAAAGAACCAGTCAGAAATGAAGGCTACACTAACTGAAATGAAGAATAATTTACAGGGAATCAACAGTAGAATAGAGAATACCGAGAATCAAATCAACAATTTGGAATGTGAGGAAACAAAAAACACCCAGTCAGAAGATCAAGAAACAAAAAAACTGCAGAAATATGAAGATAGTGTAAGGAGCCTCTGGGATGACTTCAAGTGCCCAACATTTCCATTATGAGGGTGCCAGAAGAAAAAAGAGAACAAGAAATTGAAAACTTATTTGAAAAAATAATGACAGAAAACTTCCCTACCTGGTGAAAGAAATAGACTTACAAGTCCAGAAAGCACAGAGAATCCCAAACAAGAGGAACCCAAAGAGGTCCACACCAAGACACATCATAATTAAAATGTCAAAGGTTAAAGACAAAGAGAGAATCTTAAAAGCAGCAAGGGAAAAGCAGTTAGTTACCTACAAGGGAGCACCCATATCACAGTCAGCTGATTTCTCAACTGAAACTTTGCAGACCAGAAGGTGGCAAGAAATATTCAAAGTGATGAAAAGCAAGAACCTACAACCAAGATTACTCTACCCAGCAAAGCTGTCATTTAGAATTGAAGGTCAGATAAGGAGCTTCACAGATAAGAAAAAGCTAAAGAAGTTCATCACCATCAAACCAGTACTACATGAAATGTTGAAGGGTCTTCTTTAAGAAGAAGCTAATGAACAAAAGAAACTGACAGACAAAATAGACCCAGAGACATTGAAGCAACCACTGAAGATGGTTGTATCTCAGAGAGACGAGGGAAGAAGGAAGGGGGATGAGGGTGGAAAGAGGTTAACCAAAGAAGTTATATGCATATATGTATAACCCATGGACACAGACAATAATGGGGTGGAGGCTTGGGGAGAGGGTGGGAGCGAGGTGGAAGAGGTCAATGGGGGAGGGAAAATGGGACACCTGTAATACTTTGAACAACAAGGATAAATTTTTTAAAAAAGAAAGAAAAGAAAACAAGACCCAAATATATGCTGTTTACAAGAGACTCACCTCAGAACAAAAGACTCACACAGGCTGAAAAAAAACTTCTGGATGACTTTTTTTTAACTTTATTTTTGTTTAAAATATTACAGATGTCCCTATTTCTCCCCAATGACC